TTTATTCTCATTTAGGACTTATAATCCCCTACGTAGGAGATACATACCTAAGTCCTTCGTAGGGGGATTATAAGTCCTACGTAGGAGATACTATGTATATACACTAAGCAGCAAAAGAAACGTCAGTTTGGATGTTTCCGTCGCAGAAACGGATAACTGTAAACTCATTTAATATTTTGATTGGGTATATTTTGACATCTCGAACTTACCTGAGCAAAGACATTCCTTCCCAAGCTCAGAATGGAACCCAGGAAATGGTCTCAAAACGTAACCTGATCTCGGAGATGGTACGGTGTTTTCCATGCTGCACGTGCTGTTTACAAGGACCAGCCCGCATAAAATGCACCCTGAAACATTCACATTACAACGTCAGTAGGATGCCGCGACTCACGACAGCTCAGAGTGTGGAGTGAGTTTTGTTTTACGCAGCTTTCAGCAATATTCCAGCAATATTCCAGCAACATTACGGCGGGGGACACCAGAAATGGGCTTCACACAATGTACCCATGTGGGGATTTGAACCCGGCTTCGGCGTGACGAGCCAACGCTTTAATAAGTAGGCTGGCCCCCACCGCCCCGACAGCTCAGAGTGGTCCCAGGCGCCAGGAAGACTCCGGAAGCTGGCCACACTGCAAAGTCCTTGCCAATCACTTCCAGGTCAACGTTCGGACTATCTACAGGCTGCAGCAAACGTTTCTGGTCACCAACACCACAAATCGATCGCCCCTGTACTGGCAGACCAAAGGGTGACAACAAGACGATAAGACCGCCATACAGCGACAGCATGTACAGAATCCTTCATGCAGGCATCCGAAACAGCATGCCAGACAGTGGAAACACACGGAAGACCAATCAGTTCTGATACAGTACGCCGACGTCTTATCAGCAGGAACCTCATCCGTAGATCTTGCACCGTGGACTCTATCCTCACCCTCGTCATCGGCGTTATCGTTCACAGTTTGCCCGACAACACCAAAACTGGCGATACAGGCAATGGAGAACTGTTCTGTTCACAGATGAGAGTCGGTACTGCGTATCAACTGCAGATGGCAGAGCAAGAATATGGCGACAACGTGGCCAGCGTTACTCAGACCAATATGTTATGGATAGAGAATCATGGGGAGGTTCAAGCATCATGGTATGGGTTGGAATAACCAGAGACTGAGTCCTTGGTGTTCCAGAACCTTGTTCCAGGGACAGGAGGCGGCATCATAGCGGTGCGCTTCATCGACCAAGCTCTCAGACTCCACGTCATACCACATTTAGCACGTCACCGAAAACAACATTTTCCAGCATGATAACGCCCGGGTCCATACTCTCGTCAGAGCTACACTGAACTTCCTACAGCAGAACGATGTCAACATTATGCAGAGGCTAGCCCTTAGTCTTGATTTAAAACCCAGTTGATCATCTTTGAATGAAATTCAGAGGAGACTGAATAATGCCATACCAAGGCCGAACACAGCCGATTTATTGCGCAAGGCCTTCTCAGAGTGCGGTTCCACGTGCCAATGACCTTCAACAATCGATTGGTGCACTCCATGCATAGACGCTGTGCTGCAGTTATTGCCGCTCGTGGTGGTCACACTAGATACTGAAGTCAAGAGTCTGAATGGACTGCAAACGTTCACGTAATGTCTTGGAATTGTGCTGAGTTATTCATTGATGTGTCAAGATATTGTACACAAAAACTGTTTTTGATCCGCTTATTATGTCCATTTCTGTAATGATTTGATTACAGTGCCTATCTCATTTTGAAATTCGCACTGACGTTTTTTTTGCTGCTGAGTATACATGCACAACTAATGGTCGGTGAGTTGTAAAGAGAAATTGACAAGAATCCTGCAGTTATGTGGATGAGTTACTAAGTCCCACGTAGGAGATATATTGGTACTTCGTAGGAGATATTAAATACTACGTAGGAGATATTAAGTACTAAGTAGGAGATATTAAGTACTACGTAAGAGATATTAAGCACTACGTAGGAGATATTAAGTACTACGTAAGAGATATTAAGCACTAATTAAGTAGGAGATATTCAGTCCTACGTAGGAGACACAGTGAGACCATTTTTCCTAATATAAATATTGTTTTTCTCATCCAGTTTGTTAGATGTGAGTTTGTTCGTTTGTTGAGTTCGGGATGAGTCCTTGTAAGAGGATCGTCACCAAGGGGTCAAGATTGGTTATTTACAGCGTTAAACAACATTCAAACAAATAGATTCCCATTCTCGTACGATTACAATGGTGAAAAAGAATTTTATAGAATAGAGTTCCTATTTAAGTTTGGGAAAGACACTGGAAAGAACATTTCAAATTATCCGATGTAGCATGCCATTTTGAATATTTACATTTATTATATTCCAGTGTTTGTTCTGGTGTTGCCTTGCCATTACATGTGTTTTGCACGATACCGTTGGGACAGGATACAACCACCTTTATGACAAACATCACTCTTACTTTAATACATACTCACAATACTAATAATAAAATCGCAATAAACAACTTTCATTAGAAATTCCCTTGTTGCTACTAAACAAATTCGTCGTTTTTACTTTTATAATGTTTGATTTGTGGTACAGGATGGTGATTATTTTTTACATATAATTCATATTGTATGCGTCTGTGAGCGTGTGCGTGTGTGAGAGCATTTGGTAATGCATTCGATATGGCTAGTGTGTGTGATATATTTATCCAATTTACTTTTGTGATCTTTTATTATGTTTTCAAATCAAACATTTAGTCGTTCATTTCTGTTTCTGTATAATTGCTATTGATAATTCTGATTCCTATTAATTCTAGAGTTCCGTTATGGAAGGCCCTTCACAGCGACCGATGAAATGAAGAGAAGTTTCGATGAGGCGGGGATTCGTCATTATTCGGTGAGGATTAAACTTCCATAGATTAGAACAATACCATAATGCTTTCCAAATTTTATAACAATATTTTGCCTTTTGGCGTCACTGGTTGCCAAGCCAGCTAATCAATATCCGAATCGCTGATAACGAAAATTGGTCTGTCAGCCTGAGATCCTTGATCGAGAAATACAAGATTTTATGCATATTTCTGTTTGAGAATAGAGTTTTGACCTGTCAGATGAGTGATTGGTATCATGGATAGGCAAGCATGGCACACACTGTAAGTCGCCACCCGATCAAATAAGTTTACCCGTGAAGATCCGGGTTAGAATTGATTTTCAGTAACTCATCCTTGCCGTAAGAAGCGACTAACGGATCGGGTTGTCAGGCTCTGCTAACTTCATTAACACATGTCATCATATCCCAATCATGCTTGTTGATCACTGGATTGTCTGGTCCAGACTTGATTATTTACAGACCGCCTCCATATAGCTGGAATATTGCTGAGTGCACTTAACTAAACTCACCTCACTCCAATATGGTATTTCTTGGGATGAGCTAGGGTTCAGACATGGTTGTAGCCTCGAGAACCATATTACCACGTGAGTCAAGACGAAATATTAACACGTGAGTCATGGTAATATTAACACCTGAGTCATGACAATATTAACACCTGAGTCATGACAATATTGCCACATGAGTCATGGCAATATTTAACACATGAGTCATGACAATATTAACACGTGAGTCATGACAATATTAACACGTGAGTAGTGGCAATATTAACACGTGAGTCATGGCAGCATTAACACGTGAGTCATGGCAATATTAACACGTGAGTCATGGCAATATTAACACGTGAGGAGTCATGGCAACATTAACACGTGAGTCATAGCGTAAATATTAACACGTGAGTCATGACAATATTAACACGTGAGTCATAGTAATATTAACGTGAGTCATGACAATACAAACACGTGAGTCATGGTAATATTAACACGTGAGTCATGACAATATTGCCACGTGAGTCATGCCAATATTAACACGTGAGTCATGGCAATATTAACACGTGAGTCATGACAATATTAACACGTGAGTAATGGTAATATTAACGTGAGTCATGACAATATTAACACGTGAGTCTTGGCAATATTAACACGTGAGTCATGGTAATATTAACACGTGAGTCATGACAATATTAACACGTGAGTCAGCGACAATATTGCCACGTGAGTCATGACAATATTAACACGTGAGTCATGACAACATTAACACATGAGTCATGACAATATTAACACGTGAGTCATGGCATATGTTCCATTTACAGAGGTTTGCTTGACAAAGGATGAAGTCGGTAAACTGACCAAGTCGGTGGAGACGAACGAGGCGTTCTCGCGGCATGCTTTCAATGTAGGTGATGGAATCACACTATTTTTGAATTGGCGTCGAACTTCGCTCTGTGCAAAGCTGCCTGTGCGTAATCGAGATGTGTAGCTTTATCCCGTTTTCGCTGCTCATCGCACGAGATGTTTGTTGGAACTGGGCGTTATATTAATATTCCTCGTAATCATAGAATTTGCAACCTCCGTAACGTTAATGCTGTAGAAGACGAATACCATTTTCCTTTTTTCTGCCCTGCTTATGAAAACCTTAGACAGAAATATTTAACATCCTACTATATACCTATCCAAATGAAATAAAAATGACTATACTATTACCAAATGAGGA